TCACATTACCTGCAGGCTGTAAGAATCATATCCATGGCCAGATGAAGTTCTAAGGTAACAAGAGTAGACATAGGCCATGGCGAGGCAGCAGTAGCATGGCCAACACCTAAGGGCACCACACCATTTACTGCTGATGGAGAAGTTCTTCCTGAGAGGTTCGCTCCCTCACGCACAGCACGACGGACATGCCTCATTACACTCTGGAAGTTAATTTACTGGTCTTAACATGTTTACCTCTTGGGACTTGGCAATAAGAAAAATGATGAGTGTGTTAGCCTTTACAAATACTTAACCCAATGCCGCTGGGTGGTTTCCCGATGCAAAAGCCCTCTCTCCTGGGCTGAATTCATAGTGGCCCAGGCCCCACTGCCAGGGGATTGTGTTGGCATGACCATACATTTCCCCAGAAAACTGGACCAGTACATCATGGCATGTATGCACATGCCACCCGGAATATCATCCAAGCATGTACATACATGCTACCCGGCAGCAAAAGGTTAAAAAATGCAAGACTAGTTTCAGGAAAATTCTTCAGCAATTGCTTATCTTCCTTTCATCTTAACCAAATGACACTGGGATAGCCTGCGCACAGAAGCCATGTCCACCATGGTTTTAGTTTATTTGTCACCAAGGAGTTAATTACTAGTCCTACTTTCTCACCTGTTTATCATTTACCTTGATTCTCAGAGATTCTTTATATTCCTTATTGCCATCAGTAATTTCAACAATTTTATAATAACTATAATAACAAATAACAGTATCAATATTAATAGGAAAAAATCCAAATATTCAGGGAATGGAGAAACTTAAGTGAGATCATATAAAGCCTACTAATTGACTCCCAGGTAACTGAGGACTTGTGGAGCCATCCACGTGTAAATAAAGTTTTTAAAAATGAAACAACAGTGGATAGTATGTTTACCAGTGCTATAGGGATAAAATTTCATCATTGTAAATTCATTCCTTTTTTCAAAAGCCTACTGTAATTTAAAAAATCTACTCACCGTAAACACCTCAGGAGACAGGAATTCAAGGGAGAGAGAATCAGGATCTGCTAACAGCTGATACAGTGCTGAACCAGGAGAGGAGGAAGGCAGATCAACAACGTCTGAGGGAGACTGACCCCTGGCCATGCGAGTCACCCACGTCTCACATCGTCCCAGCTCAACTAGGGCCGCTCCCAAACCACACCCAGGTACACGAACAAGATGAGTATCCACTAAGGCTCCCACTGATGAATGTACATAATCCTGAAATAATAATAAACAAATTAAATATAATTACATACCAAGAAGACAAATTTACCACATTTTAAACATGATTCTTCTACTGAAGAGCAGTCATGACAAAGCCCTTGTTCCTAAAGAAAAAAAAAAAGGCATCAGCTAGCTCACCCAGTGTGTGTTATGGTTCCATGCCAAACCAGCAGAAACCAAAATAGGTGGCCAGGCGAAGACAAGTGGCGTGAGGGCTGCGCTGCTCGACCAGTGAGCAACCACCACTCCTCCAGCTCCTCCGTCTACTCCACTCACCACACCACTGTACACATTACTCACACCAGCTTCTGGCCACCTGGAGATATATAAACAAATTACTTTCTAATGCTTACTATATGTGCAGTATGTAATCAGAGTCTATACACCTATACATGAATACCTGTGTTTATTCATTTTCATATATCACATACTGTGCCATTTATTCCAGTCTGATTTTACTAAAACATTTTTTAACAAAAAATTCACAAGTCAGAAGTGTATTATTATATGATAAAAGACATTTTTTGCCTTTACACTAATCAAGAAATATCTAGATTTTGAAAATGCTTACTGATCAAAAACAAGACACACATTAAACCCTTTACATCAATGTTGATTAAAAAACACTTCAAATCTGTAAGTTAATAGCAGTATCAAAAACTTCTTATACAAGCTGAAACTTACCCACTTAAACTACTCCACGCAGCAGTACCTGGGCAAACAGCTAATGGGCGTCCATTCTCTAGCGCAAGCTGAACTCCACGTGAAAAATCGTAGTCAGCCTGCAGTTCATCATAAACATTAGTTAATGCAACTAATATATTTTACCTTTAAGACACTTTTCAATTTCCACAGTACAATTTTCTATAATCATATTGTTTTAAAATAACTCTTGACACAGGCATATAATAAAAGACCATTGATTTATGGAACACAGAAGCTTGCAGTAAACTATTTTGTCTGAATATAGACACTTTGTGCAAATTGCCATAACAAAACCAACCTGGAAGCCATATTCTACAAGAATAGTAGTTGGCGGAAGGCACGCTAATTCCCGGCTCTTATTGTGGAATACATTGGCACAAACTAAGAGCACAGCTGATGGAGCCAGACCCAGCTGTGTCCAAGGGGACATGCGGATAAAGGAAAGACCCGGCTCAGGTGAGGCAGCTGTACTGGCATCAGCTAGCAGCGAGGTCAATCTGGGGCCAATATGAACATAGCTGCAAAAGAAATACATGCACAGTTTGTAAACAAAGAAACCAATTTTACATATATGCAGATAAACAGATAGAATATAGAAAGAATAGACAGATAGAAGATAAAATGAATAGATAAACAGAAAATACATATAGATATACATATGTAGATATAAAAAGAGACTGATAAATATATTGGTGTATACATAATAAACATATATATAAATCATTCTGCTAAACCACTGCTTACAGCAAATTCTTATTTGCTGTAAGCAGTGGTTTAGCAACAGATAGAAATATTTCTATTACCGAGCTGAAGGGAAGTGAGTGAGTGTTGCACTAACTATAGCTGTGATGGCACCAAGTTGCCCTGTAGGTACTGAACCCTCTACATCAAAGGCTGGTACCAAAGTAATGCCACGATCCTTGCAGTAACGGTCTAATGACACAACCTCACTGTGGAGAAATACTGGGTGAATTATCTTAATGTAACAAAAACATATCATAGACTGCTTTTAGTAACTCTCACACATGATCTCATAAGCCTAGATCAAACACTGCATAAGTAGAAAAAAAAAAAAAAAAAAAAAAAAAATTGTATATTCAACAACAATTTACCAGTATCAGTTATATATAACACAAATAAACAGAGCCATACCTAGGAGAGTAAGGTAAACTGCAGGCAACTGGTGAGACACGCATTAATAGGTGTAACTGATTCATCTTTATAGCAAGAAGAGAGTCTACTATTTGGCATAACCGCTCCTGAAAAATAAAATTAATGTCTAGACTCTCCATAGCTGAAATATTTCTATGAGAAATAAGTAACAGACAAAGTATATAAAAATCTCTGCGTGAGTGTATAAAAAATTAGACAGCTTTAATTTAAAGATATAAACCTGATACTGGATCTTGCAAATCTGAATTTATTTTTAAGATTAATCTACACCCAGCATTAATCCCAACAAAGCATACAAAATTACTCCTCAACTTACTAATGTTGGAACTCTAGCATGAGGTGCAACATCAAGCATAAAACCCCGGTGTGGCAGAGAGGGACTATCGGTGATGACTAGCGGTGGGACAACTCCTTTCTCGTTGCCCTCTCCACCCAGACGACACACCCGTAGCAACTGAACCAGGGTTACTAGGGCATTGTGAAGGCTATCTACTGATCCACAAACCATCTTTACCTGGAATAAATCAAAGTAAATTTACTATATGTTTTCTTTAAGTAAATTTACTATATGTTTTCTTTTTCCACTCACACGTCATCAAATGAATTTCATTTATTACAAAGACTGTTTTTTGCTCTACAAGGCAGCCACTTGGACTTGGCCTTACTTTATTATCCAGTATGGTGAGTGTGTATTGATGAGGATGAGCTGTGAGAGCATCATCAACCACACACGTGAATGTATGAGAGCTTGGAGGGTCTCTCGCACCAACAACAGCTCCAAGGCTGACATGACAACCCACTTCTTCCAGCCAGCATTTATGTATATCCCAAACATCTACAATTCTGTAAATAAAAAGTACACACATTCTAGAATCACATCTATTCCTTTAACAAAATGAGGACTTTGCTGATGAGTGGCCTCCAACACAATATCACCAGTATAACCTGGAGAGAAGAGACACACTTACCTATGCACAGGTACTGCTCCAGATAACACGGCTAATGTGGCATGTGTTGGTGGCGACCAACTGGGCCCAGTGAGCTCAGTGATACGACGAGGTTGGGGCCACAGCAAATGAAGGGAATTATGGGTAACCAAAGGCCGTGGAGGAGCTGTAATTTGTGTGGATGCCAGGCGCTCACAAACCTGCAAATATATTACCTGCTTTTCCATCAAAAGACATAATGAAACTTAATACTACACTATTCCAAAAGAGCAGTACTTAATAATGAAACCTTTCCTTGTAAGAGTTATAAGAGCATACTTTTTAGCATCTTCATGGAACAAGGTCCTAAATACCACATTGTCTCAGAAATACAGTTACTTATATTGATACTTTACTTATAAGTCTTAGATTAGTAGTTTAGGGGTTATGGCAAGTATAAGGTGAGCATAAATATAATTGTGCCCAGCCTGGGGTGATCACCATGCGTAAACACATTCCAGGGCACTGGGATTAAAAAGTATTGCTGAAACACAGACACAAACACACAGACAGAGACAGAGACACAGACAGAGACACAGACAGAGACACAGATAGACAGACAGACACACAGACAGATAGATACACACACACACACACACACACACACACACACACACAGACAGACAGACAGACAGACAGACAGACAGACAGACAGACAGACAGACAGACAGACAGACAGACAGACAGACAGACAGACAGACAGACAGACAGACAGACAGACAGACAGACAGACAGACAGACAGACAGACAGACAGACAGACAGACAGACAGACAGACAGACAGACAGACAGACAGACAGACAGACAGACAGACAGACAGACAGACAGACAGACAGACAGACAGACAGACAGACAGACAGACAGACAGACAGACAGACAGACAGACAGACAGACAGACAGACAGACAGACAGACAGACAGACAGACAGACAGACAGACAGACAGACAGACAGACAGACAGACAGACAGACAGACAGACAGACAGACAGACAGACAGACAGACAGACAGACAGACAGACAGACAGACAGACAGACAGACAGACAGACAGACAGACAGACAGACAGACAGACAGACAGACAGACAGACAGACAGACAGACAGACAGACAGACAGACAGACAGACAGACAGACAGACAGACAGACAGACAGACAGACAGACAGACAGACAGACAGACAGACAGACAGACAGACAGACAGACAGACAGACAGACAGACAGACAGACAGACAGACAGACAGACAGACAGACAGACAGACAGACAGACAGACAGACAGACAGACAGACAGACAGACAGACAGACAGACAGACAGACAGACAGACAGACAGACAGACAGACAGACAGACAGACAGACAGACAGACAGACAGACAGACAGACAGACAGACAGACAGACAGACAGACAGACAGACAGACAGACAGACAGACAGACAGACAGACAGACAGACAGACAGACAGACAGACAGACAGACAGACAGACAGACAGACAGACAGACAGACAGACAGACAGACAGACAGACAGACAGACAGACAGACAGACAGACAGACAGACAGACAGACAGACAGACAGACAGACAGACAGACAGACAGACAGACAGACAGACAGACAGACAGACAGACAGACAGACAGACAGACAGACAGACAGACAGACAGACAGACAGACAGACAGACAGACAGACAGACAGACAGACAGACAGACAGACAGACAGACAGACAGACAGACAGACAGACAGACAGACAGACAGACAGACAGACAGACAGACAGACAGACAGACAGACAGACAGACAGACAGACAGACAGACAGACAGACAGACAGACAGACAGACAGACAGACAGACAGACAGACAGACAGACAGACAGACAGACAGACAGACAGACAGACAGACAGACAGACAGACAGACAGACAGACAGACAGACAGACAGACAGACAGACAGACAGACAGACAGACAGACAGACAGACAGACAGACAGACAGACAGACAGACAGACAGACAGACAGACAGACAGACAGACAGACAGACAGACAGACAGACAGACAGACAGACAGACAGACAGACAGACAGACAGACAGACAGACAGACAGACAGACAGACAGACAGACAGACAGACAGACAGACAGACAGACAGACAGACAGACAGACAGACAGACAGACAGACAGACAGACAGACAGACAGACAGACAGACAGACAGACAGACAGACAGACAGACAGACAGACAGACAGACAGACAGACAGACAGACAGACAGACAGACAGACAGACAGACAGACAGACAGACAGACAGACAGACAGACAGACAGACAGACAGACAGACAGACAGACAGACAGACAGACAGACAGACAGACAGACAGACAGACAGACAGACAGACAGACAGACAGACAGACAGACAGACAGACAGACAGACAGACAGACAGACAGACAGACAGACAGACAGACAGACAGACAGACAGACAGACAGACAGACAGACAGACAGACAGACAGACAGACAGACAGACAGACAGACAGACAGACAGACATTCCACCGTCTGTCCCAGCAAGAGAGATTGGCTGCCACTGAAGACTGCCCTAAACAAACTCACCCCGATCTCCTAATGAACGACGGCCTATTAAGGGTGAAACGCTGCCATTTGTCGTAGCATTACTGTGGGCTGGCTTGCTCTCAATAGCAGCAGCATGTTGTTGCATCAGTTCCTGGAGCTGGATCTTTCTTGATGCCATCTCAAAAGGTGTTTTCCCTTTATGCCGTCTGGAAGTAGTATAGAAGTCTTTTGAGGACATAAAAAAAACAGAAAAACACAATAGACTATGAGTTTTCCCAAATATTTCAATAAAAAAAGGATATTCTTCTAAAAACTTAAATTTTTCATACAGCAAAAATTTGACACCCAAACACACAACACATCTACCTTAGCCCAGTCTCACCCTTTGTAACACTGAATATGGGGATTAGCATCATTGTCAAGAAGGATTCTCACAATCTCCTCATTTCCTCGTGCAACAGCATCATGAAGGGGGGTGGCACCATCGCTGTTGGCAGCATTGACATCTGCACCACGGGCTATATTGAGGACATGAATGTAACTGTCATTACTGGTGATTCAAAAAAGATTTAAAAATTACAGGTGATTCAAAAAGTTACAATATGCATATCTTTAACATTAATCATTAACTAGCACAGTCTTAATGTTAAATGTCATTACTCTCTGTGATTTTAAGATAGATTCTGAATTTTTGACAGATTCTGTTTCATTATTTGAGAAACTATTTACAATTCCATTTGTCTTCTCTTGTTTTCTTTCACTGGTTTCCATACTGAGCTTTTGCCCACACACAAAAAAAAAAACATGAATGACACATTTACTGTAATGTTTTTTCTATACAGATGATGCTGTAACTTATAAGGCAAAAACCCATCACTGATAAGAACATTTTGTGATAAGAACATTTTGCTATAAATACTAAATACCAGAAAAAATACAAACATTGTGCCAAGCCAGATTTTCAATATACTCTCCAGCTAATGCCATTGATGCATATAAAAAGAAGGCTGTATTGGCTGACTCATATATATTTTCAGAAAATTACTTAAGAAGATTGTAAATGAACATGCTTACAAAGCCCCTGTTTTCTCATGCTCAGTAACTACCAAGGTATACAAGTAATAATCACACTAACAATAATAATGAACTACATAATGTGTAAGCCAACATAGATGCTATCATCAACATGTGTAACGTACCTACGTCACTTGCTCTAACATAGTGAAAAGGCAAGGAAAACATACAGCTAATAATAATAACACCACAAATATAAATACAAAGCAAATAAGGATTAATGGCCAGGAATCTACATAAAAAAAGCACAGTTAACATTACCTAAAAGGCAGGTAAGTGTGTCGATGTCAGCAAAGGAGGCAGCCCAGTGTAGGGGAGTGTTGCGGCTTAGTGGATTATCATGGGAGTTGATGCTAAGGCCTGCTGCAACCAGCTGACACACGCGGCCTACACTACAACCATAACATATTACATTACAACCCCTTACAGGCAAGATAGTCTATAATATACATCTTTTTCTTCTCTAATAGTCTAAAGTCTATGTCTCATAACTCCAGCAAATGTATTCTTTATTCCTATGTTAAATTATAAAAATATGGAAAAATAATGTAAATTGTAAATATACTCATATCTTCATGAATTACAATCTATAAATATACCAAAACATTCATATACTCGTACACTTGTACCACTGAACACCTGCATATCTATACCACCTGTGCATAAACTCAACATACATTCATGCACGCTGTTCCCTTATGTTAACAAACAAACAACTGCAACAACTACTCATTTATATTGCTACAACAGTACAAAAAACCTAAAGAATATATACTGATACTTCCAAAGGTCTTTATCTCTTCTGCATTCACACTCATTAACTTTTCATACAAGTAAATGTCCCAATTACCACATAAATTACTCATTAAACATTATCATAAACAACCCCTAAAATCTTGTTTGGGAATTCACACAAAATATTGCATCCTTTCTCACTCTGACTGGGCTGTTGCTCGTAGTAGCTCTTCTGTGAAGATGGCAATGATAGGGGGGGTAGGGGCTAATTGTAGAGGAGTGTTTCCATCATTATCTTGGATTCCTGGATCTGCACCTGCAGCTAACAATGCTCTCACGATATCCCCACGGCCAAGCTGCAAGTGAGGATTTAATTTTAGTTACGTGTCTGCAGGTGTGCACGTCTGCATATAACTTCAGATGTGCAGATGTGGAATGTCTGAATTTTATAGTTTTTTTTTATTCCCTTCACATTAGTGCATGGATGAAAGTGATGAGTTGGCATACCATAAAACTTGTTAGATATTTACAAAATATTAATTATTGAAGTTTTCTCATAACCAAAACTACATTACCTTAGTGGCCATGTGTAGAAACGTTCCATCTTCTGTTGCAAGAGAATTTATCAACTGCTTTCGTTCTTCTTCACCTCCACCATAACCTAAAAATTAGGAAAATCTTACACTCTAATATTTTTATTAAAAATCATCTTCTCTTTATTACAGAAACTCATCTAAAAAAAATATTAACTTTATTCCAAAGCTTATGAAATGAAAATATATATTGATCTAAATACTTAAACTTTAACTCAAGCTCTAGGAAAAAAAAACATTACTACAGCTATATTGTTGATTATGAATGTTAGGCCCTAGTCCAATTACTTATAAATATTTGATGCATTACAGAATATAATGTAGACGCCAATCTCTGGCATCAATTAAACATGAATCCTAGGTGTCATTAGTGCAAAACACTTCCAATCCTATTACCTTATTTTGCTTTTTAATTATAAAAATAAATAAACAAATAAACAAATTACTTTTTATCTCACAACTCTATTTTCATTGAATTCACAAATACTTCACTCCCTTGGATTCAAGGCATTAAAGATTGTGAAGCATATAAAACTTCATAAGTAACAGTATCCTTTGCTATGAGCCAAAGTCTAACAAAATGCACTTTTGTAGAAGCAGAGAAATTGCTTTACCAAGAGCCAGATATTTTGACCTCATGTATAAGCATTTATTTAAAGGCTAAATGGCTTTACAGATATACAGATAAATAAAAGTTTTACAGATCAATATCAGCAAGTGAGCAGACAAATAAGTTTATGATAATATAAGCCTATACAGACAAACATAAAACTCACAGGTTTCACAAGCATCTAGCAACTTCCTGAAGATATCAGTTCGTCCTGCCTTGACAGCTTCTTTCAAACTGTCAACAGCATCCAACAATGCTGGTGGCACCTGAACCTCACCCATATCTATGTGTACTCTCCTGAAAAAATATTTATGATAAGTAAATACATACAAGTCCACTAAGAACAAGATTTGTGCACACTACTTTCATATTACCATGAATGTCATTAATAATGGTATTCTAATTTCAAGCAAAGAAACTAATACTCCTACAGATAGTATTTATGGAAGAATTCATAATTCATTAACACATCTTGATGACATGAGTACTGAAAACCTTTTCTTTATTTCTTCTATAAAGAAAAAATTAAAAATGCCAAAGTCACTGTAATATAAGTTTATTTATTGTATTTACACATGGATGCTTCTACAAGTGCTTAATCACCAAGGAGTCAGTCATTAGTTCTACCTATCACACCTGTTTACCTTTTTCCTTGACTTTTGGAAAGGGTCTTATGTATTACTTCATTGTCTTATGTATTACTTCATTGTCTTAAATATTACCAAGATTTAAATAACAATTTGATAATCATAATATCAATAACTATCATAACAGTATCAATATCAATACATTTTCAACACATTTTCCTGCCAATTTAAGGAATGGGGAAATCAGGATCGGTCACTAGGGTCTACAAACAGATTCCTTGCCGCCTGAGCACTTGTGGAGCCATCTGTATGTAACAAATTCCACAAAAAACTACGGGAGCCAGAATGTAAATCCGTGGTGGTTTGGTTAACTGTTCTCATTAATGTTGCTATAGTGAGAAAATGAGTCAGAATATGAGATTAAATAATGAAGATTACAAAGCTACCAAACAATAACATATCTGACAGTTTTGAAGCTACAAAGATAACATTCATTCATCAGTATTTAACATTTTCCACAAGGGATCTAACCATCTTCTAGAATCAAACTTCACAAGGTCTTAGGTTTACTACAGTCTACTTTCTGCATAAAGTGGGATATACTATGAAAAGAGGGACTACATGTTTACCTATATTTACCAGTACATATCATGATAGTGTAAATGCTATATAGACTATACCAGTTACCATATTAGATTAATGTCTCTGAAGTCTTAGAAAGTATAATACATTATACTAGAACTTAAAACAATAATAATAATAATAATAATAATAAATAATGTCAACAAAAAAAAAAAGTTGGATAAAAATACATATCGAATTTCATGAACCAATATCTGCAGAGGATGGACAAGCAATGCTTTAGACTCTCAAAAAGCCAACAATCTCCATGTATATTCTGACAAGAAAAGGCTACCCTTCCTGATACATATAATAATCTACACAGGCAAAACAGTAATATTAGAAATGAAGAAAATAGGTCTTGATAAATGCCTTGTTCAGACTAGATCTATAGGGGTCTGGGAATGCAGGCCTTGGTAGGGAAATATAGTGATCTGGGAGGGTACGGGAGCAAAACCCCAGATTAGCAAGGATTTTTGTTTATATATCAATGTTAATGGATTCCCCTATGGTTGTTGGTTGGTATAATAGGGACTTGGTCTCAGAAGTTTACAGTTACTTATTGTAAACAGTTACAAATACTTCCACTTACTTCCTGTCTATCCAACACTCTCTCCTGCCATACATACGTGGAGGATTCTTTATTCTCCTATGTGGGGATTGGGGAGCAGTAGCCTCCCATAGGGGGGTCTCAGTGGGCAGAGCCCTATGCATTCAGCAGTATAGTGAAGTATCTTCAGTAAATTATTATATTATTATTAGTTTACCCTGCAATTTCCCTGGTATCTGTCATGCCCTCCACTGGTATTGGTGCCAAGAATGTAGGGGTTGGGGGTTCCATGGCATAATTTCTACATATATATTTACTAAGCGGTAAGAAGAATCCATCGTTACCAAAATCATTGTGATCGGTTATTCAAAAGTCCCGTGAAAAATTGATGAAACAAAAAAGTTGGATGACAGTGTGAAACAAAATTACTGTTCTATCAGCAAAACTTGCAAGGGGGAGGTTTATTGGCCTTTGCCAGAGCAATGTACGGAGGCCACAGCATTGCTCGACGCAGTACGGTCCTGAGAAACCACCACATGTGTCGACTCTCTCATGCCATACTCGGCATTATGACCCACGTGTCACACTTATACCTAAAATAACTTGGCCTTAAGTGAACCCATGCCATACACTCAGTAGTATCTGAGAATGACAATTGCCCTAATTAATTTCTAAAACAAATAAGCCCATAACGTACACTAGTTCTCCTTCCACCTAGGGCCCTATCACTCCCCTTGAACCGGCGACTCCAAAGCACAAAACCCACAAAACCCACCCACTGCAGATTAAGAAGTTCACGTCAATCAAAAAAAAAGATCAGAAATAAAATTATAAAATAATATAAAATAGAAATAAAAGCTCAAAAATAAAACCCATAAAAATCCCACTCTAGAATTACTATCTCTGGGTAAGAAACTCTCCAAGAAAACCATGTCAACACCTCCGGCACCAGTTAAAGTTACCTGTAAGCCCAATGCCGGCAAGTGGGCAAGTTACGGTGGGAAAATAACTTAGAAAAAGAACTTAGAAATAATAACTTAAGAACTCTCGTCTGCACACGTCACCTGCAACCTCCCTCTGACGTGTACGATAATTCCCCTTTTTGTAGTTGTTCTTTGTGTTATATTACCTGCTTTTCTCTGATTCTTTACATTTTATATGGCTTATCTTTACTGATTACATCTTATTCTAACTTGATCTGGTCTTCTATAACGTGTAAGAAAATATGTGATTAATAAATACTTGGCATTTCGCTTGAGGTTATAAACAACATCGCTAAATGTTCTTCTTTTGGTGTTACACTAGATGTAATTTAAGTAGATATGTGCATTTCTTGTATAAATAGTATGTCAGGTTGATGTATAAAATATCAAGAATTTACCCAAGCTTCGTAATCTGAATGTAAAGCGGCGACACATCACCCACACGAAGATAAAGCCACAGCCAGAATACGAACAATTCAGGTGTATCAATGAAACGTGAATTTCATTAATAAAATGCTTTTTTTCTAGAATATAATCGTTAAAATATATCTTTATAGTGCCCATTATTATATGATTATATTTATGTTATAATAAACCAGTAGCATGGACCAAGTAATTCCTCAAAATAATCGCTTACTTTATGTTATATATTGCCTTAACTATCTCGAAAAGTAATTATTCTTGATGGAAATATAATCTCAATAATTCATTCAGTATTTCGAGACGATAAGTTTGAAAAAAAAAACACACACATGACCTCTCTCGAAGCCTTTTGGCCTTAAGTTCTATTATATTTGGTCAGCACTGTATCCCTGATAATCTAATCCATTAACAGATTAAGGAAATTATTAATTAACCAGTACTGATGATGAACTTTGCACCCTTCAATTGCTGGAGAATAGAAATGCGGCACTGCTTCAGGAATCGTCAAGAGATAATGGCATAAAGGAAATTGCATGTAAAGATTTAAAAGTACTATATAACAAGTAAAGACGCAAGAGAGTGGTGTCCCTATATATATATATGTGTGTGTGTGTGTGTGTGTGTGTGTGTGTGTGTGTGTGTGTGTGTGTGTGTGTGTGTGTGTGTGTGTGTGTGTGTATTTATATATATGTGTGTGTGTGTTTATATATATTCATATATATTTATAGATTTATATATATCATATATATTTATAGATCTATATATATTTTATATACTATATATATTATATATATTATAATGTATATATGTACATATATACATATATATATTTACACTATCTGTACTTACTGCAATTTATACCTTTAGTATATCGCTTAAGATTGGGCAGAAAAAAATCATAATCTAAACTAAAATAACACTTGGGGCAACCAATCAAATTCTAGGGGATGACATTAACTCCCCCCCCCCCCTCCTCTTCTCAGACCACCACCTGGGAAAAACGAAAATGTATTCCATTGCCTTTCCCTTAGTGTGCGGTCAGCGACAAGTCACTCCAGAGGCTAGTTCCTGATAAGTAATTTTTCGTACAGTTCCTGTCCTATATTTTAGCTTCTTTCGATCTTTGTTTGGTACTTTTATTTTACTATAAACGTTGTTGCATGGCATTTTCCTGCCCAAAACGGGAGATGTCACCTTGTTGATAGTTTAATTGCTGTTTCTGAGAGTAATCAGACTTCAAACGTTTGACAGAAAAAACACAAACGCGCGCGCGCGCGCACACACACACACACACACACACACACACACACACACACACACACACACACACACACACACACACACACACACACACACACACACACACATATATATATATATATATATATATATATATATATATATATATATATATATATATATATACATGTATATGGACATAGAATACGTGTGTCTCTCTCTATATATATCTACACATGTATATATATATATATATATATATATATATATATATATATATATATATATATATATATATATATATATATATATATATATACAGTATACGTGTGTTTGTGTATGTACATATGCACATGCATACAGAACTTGTATGTAAACATTTACGAACTCAAAAATATTGATGTTTTTGATACATTATTAGTTATGATAATTTTAAGTATACAGCCATATAATTGTCGAGGAAATAACATTAGCATTCCCTTTCCACCGAGCGGTATAATAAGGCTCAACAAACACGCCACTAATTGCATAAACTAGCGACGCTCACATAAACACTTTCAAATACAGTACTTGGGGCTAGTGTACGGTAATTCATTATTGAAGGTACTCTCAAAATACTTTTATTTTAATCTTTCGACTTTCACTGTACACTCCATATTCGTTTTGTTGTGTTAGTTACTTCTGTTGCATATCAATTTCGCTTTTATATGGTCCGTTTTTATCGTTCTTTCTTTATTTTTGGATGATTTTTTAGTACAATTTGAAACGATTGAATAAAGCAACATACTTCAGATAGGTTAATATGACTTGATGCGAATAAACCGTATCGACTTTCAATTTCTTCAGATGATAGCTTTTTTCATGCTATTGTTTTTTTTATCATCATTAAAAGGGCACAAAATATTGAATTTTGATTTTTAATCAGTA